TTATGCAAATACTAGTCCTTAAATAATCCAAATAGTCCTGGGGAAAAAATTATGAAATCCCTATTGGAGGGATGTGGTGAGAGCCTTATAAAAGCCTAAGCTACCTAATTTGAAAACAAAATAAGTAAAAATTAACCCTCAAAAATTTACTCATAAGAAAATTCTAGCACCTGGAAGAGTTTGAATTGATTTTTGACAATTTATGACTTCCTTCAGTTTCTAAGAACCCATTTAAAAGGTTAATAACTGTCAGGCTAAAGAAAAAAAAAGAACACAGTCTAGCATAGGCTATAGTTTACATATTACACATATAGTTTTTTACCCTTTATTTTTTTTTTTTAAGATTTTTTATTTATTTGACAGAGAGAGAGAGACAGCCAGAGAGGGAACACAGCAGGGGGGGCGGGAGAGGGAGAAGCAGGCTTCCCACTGAGCCGGGAGTCCGATGCAGGGCTCGATCCCAGGACCCTGGGATCATGACCTGAGCCGAAGGCAGACACTTAACGACTGAGCCACCCAGGTGCCCCAGTTTTTCACCCTTTAAGGAAAAAAATAAACCCAAGGTGAAGGGGGTACCCTGTGAGCTTCAGATTTGAGGTCCAGAGTTCCTGTCCTCTTTAGCTATCTGCCTATTTCCAAATTTCTGAATATAACCTTTGGCAATGATCCTGCTGCCTTTAGCCACCCTGTGGCTATAAGAACTTCTGGTCGTCAGAACTGCTTTTAGGGAGAAAAAAAAAAAAAAAGAACTGCCCTTAGAAACTTCGAGGTCAGAGGTGATCCTGGAGCCCAAGAACACTCTAAAGGGCTCTCCACAGTCACAAACTAGTCCTGTCCATTTATTATAGAAGAGAACAACAATAACAAAAACAAAACTCTGGAAAAACTGTGCTGTTTTCATAGGCACTAGGTCCTTTGCAGAGGTAAAAATACAGTACTGTGCTTTATCCATGTGAAATACTCCTTAACCAATCACTTGGAATTGGGAGTGAATGAATCAAATTTTCTTTCCAGAGGAGTTAATTCCAGGTAGTAAAACTCTGATTCGTGCTTAAGGTATAAATAAAACACTACACTTGGATGCAGTGCTCTTGCTGACTTCCTTTCTCAGAGTTCTGATCCCAAACTACATTTTCGAGCTCCAAAGAATCTAAGTTATTTCCTTCATTTTGTTTATCCTCACAAAAGATTACAAAGGGGTAGGAAAGCATGATTCCACATTTTAAATTAACCTTAAATGATCAAAACTCAGGCGAGAATAGTGATTACTGAAATTGAGTGATGTTTATCACTCGGCATCAGGGAAATCCAAATCAAAACCTCAATGAGATACCACCTCACACCAGTCAGAATGGCTAAAATTAACAAGTCAGGACACGACAGATGTTGGCAAGGATGCAGAGAAAGGGGAACCCTCCTAAACTGTTGGTGGGAATGCAAGCTGGTGCAGCCACTCTGGAAAACAGTATGGAGGTTCCTCAAAAAGTTGAAAATAGAGCTACCCTACGATCCAGGAATTGCACTACTGGGTATTTACCCCAAAGATACAAATGTAGTGATCCGAAGGGGCACGTGCACCCCAGTATCCACAACTGCCAAACCATGGAAAGATCCTAGATGTCCATCAACAGATGAATGGATAAAGAAGATGTGGTGAATATATACAATGGAATATTACATAGCCATCAAAAAAAGAAATCTTGCCATTTGCAATGACGTGGATGGAACTAGAGGGTATTATGCTAAGTGAAATAAGTCAATCAGAGAAAGACAAGTATCATATGATCTCATTGATATGAGGAATTTGAGAAACAAGACAGAGGATCATAGGGAAGGGAGGGAAAAATGAAACACGACAAAACCAGAGAGGGAGACAAACCATAAGAGATTCTTAATCTCAGAAAACAAACTGAGGGTTGCTGGAGTGGAGGGGGGTGGGAGGGATGGGGTGGCTGGGTGATGGATATTGGGGAGGGTATGTGCTATGGTGAGCACTGTGAATTGCGTAAGACTGATGAATCACAGACATGTACCCCTGAAACAAATAATACATTATATGTTAATTTAAAAAAAAGAAATTGAGTGATGTTTATTTTTAAAATAAATAAAAGTGAGGGGTACAAAGAGGACCTTTCTGCAGAGAGCTGCAGATGAGCTTTCCACCTCGCTCCCATCTGCATGTGTCTCCTTTGGAAACAGCCCCATGTTCTTTTTTTTTTTTTTTTTAAAGATTTTATTTACTTATTTGAGAGAGAGAGAATGAGAGACAGAGAGCATGAGAGGGAGGAGGGTCAGAGGGAGAAGCAGACTCCCTGCCGAGCAGGGAGCCCGATGCGGGACTCAATCCCCGGACTCCAGGATATGACCTGAGCCGAAGGCAGTCGCTTAACCAACTGAGCCACCCAGGTGCCCCAGCCCCGTGTTCTGTCTCTGCTGAATCATTAACAATCACTGGATGCCCCCAGAGGCTTGGAGTGTTTGTAGCATCACATGAGATAATGAGAAAGCCCATTATAAACCTATAGGTCGGTGCTGATTTTTTTTTTTTTTTTTAACATTTGGAATGGGTAAGCAGGGAGAGAGCCCTGAATCCTGGCTACGCTTTGAGAATGGCTCCCCTCCTGATCACGCTTCTGCGGAGGGCCAGGCAGCTAACTGGGCAATGAACTCCCCATCTCGGCTTTAGCTAGGCTGTAACTTGCCTTAGGATTTTGCAGTTCTTTGGGTACTGAATTATGTCTGAGCACAAGCTAATGACTGAACCCTGACAGGCCAGATCCTGGTTGGCATCTGGGACTGCCATGATGAAGCATCAGAGAGAACTTAAGACAAGCACAGTGGATGGGCGCCTGGGTGGCTCAGTTGGTTAAGCGACTGCCTTCGGCTCAGGTCATGATCCTGGAGTCCGTGGATCGAGTCCCGCATCGGGCTCCCTGCTCAGCAGGGAGTCTGCTTCTCCCTCTGACCCTCCCCCATCTCATGTGCTCTCTCTCTCAAATAAATAAATAAAATCTTTTAAAAAAAAAAAAAAGACAAGCACAGTGGAGGAAATGGCTCCCACCGACGCTCTCATTTTAGAAACCAGTTAGTCTGAGGCCACACAATGAATCAGAGGCGGGGCTGGTATTAGAACTCGGGTCTTCTGGCCCTAACACAGTGCCCCTTCCCCCACACCATGCTGTTTAGCTCTGTCAATATTTCAAAACAAATTTGTTTAGCCTGATGGTTTTGCTCCAATGCAAAGTCCAAAAGCAAAGAAAAACCCTCAAACAAGAATTATATCATGAATAGGGTAATACGACCAACAACTCCACACAATAACCACCTACACCAAGTGAAGAGAGTCATAAGGGATACACAGCCTTGGCACAGAGGTGGGTTTTTTTCCCTCAGCTTTATTGAGATATAATTCACATACCATAAAATTTGTCCTTTTATACAATTCAGTTACTTAATATATTCAGAGTTCTACAACCATCACTATATAATTTCAAAACATTTTCATCACCCCAAAAAGAAACTCTGTACTCACTAGCAAGTACTCCCCATTCTTCACCCCTGACCCCCTGCCAGCCACTAATCTACCTTCTATTTGTATGCATTTGTCTGTTCCGGACATTTCATATAAATGGAAGCATATATACAACGTGTGGTCTTTTGTGACTGGCTTCTTTCAATTAGAATGTTTCCAAGGTTCATCTATGTTGGAATATGTATCAGTACTTCATTCCTTTTCATGGCTGAGTAATATCTTATTGTATGGATATACCACATTTTCTTTATCCATTTACCGGTTGATGAACATTTGGGTTATTTCCATCTTTCGTCTATTATGAATGTCACTATGACTGTTCATGTACAAGATTTTTCGTAGACAGACATGTTTTCAATTGTCTTGGGTAAATACCTGGAGTGGAATTGCTGGGTCATGGCAACTCTATTTTTAACTTTTTGGGCAACTGCCAGACTGTTTTCCAAAGCAGCTGCACCATATGACATTTCTACCAGAGCGTTCCAATTCCCCACATCCTCGACAACACTTGTTATTGCCCATCCTCTTGATCACAGCCATCCTGGCTGGCTGGCTGTGGCAGAGTTTTTATAACAAAAGTGACAGTTAAAATACTCTAGGGAAGCATATTCTCTGATCAACCATATGACCCAATCAGCCCCACAAGTGGTAAAATAGGACATAATACTAATTATACTGCCCTATCCTACCGCTTGTAGTACCCTCCCTAACAGTTAAGGACGGTGGCTCTCAAAATGCAGTCCCAAGACCAGCAGCACCAGTTAGAAATGCAAAGTCTCGGGGCGCCTGGGTGGCTCAGATGGTTAAGCGTCTGCCTTCGGCTCAGGTCATGACCCTGGAGTCCCGGGATCGAGCCCCGCATCGGGCTCCCTGCTCTGTGGGAAGCCTGCTTCTCCCTCCTCCACTCCCCCTGCTTGTGTTCCCTCTCTCGCTGTGTCTCTGTCATATAAAAAAAAAAAAAAAAGAAAAAAAAAAAGAAATGCAAAGTCTCAGACTCTGCCCCAGACCTACTGAGTCAGAGACCCTGCAGTGGGACCCAGTTCCCTATGATTCTGGTGATTCTGACACCTGCTCAAGTTCAAGGGAAGGCAACATCTGTTGCAGGGCATCTTTGCCCCCAATGTCAGCTTTAACCACCTTATTAGTGGTGATTAATACACACCAAATCCATCATCCTCTGCAAATGAGGATGGCAGTGACCAAGAAAGAACTTTCTAAAGGATTCCATCATGCAACTCAAGTGGAAGGGTTTGACATTTTCCAGTGATGAGTGATATTGATATAAATTGTTCACAATAATTAATTCTGGACACAGACAACCTAGCTGGAAGGTAAACAGGAATTTCATAAGCACCATCCAAGGCGGTAACATAATTTCCTTCATACTTGCTGTCCTAAATAATCCTTGTCCATTCAAAACTTCAAAGAGCATGCTATCATAGTCCTTTAGGTTTTTGGAAAGAGGATGGCATAAGAATTTCACATACATTAAAATAAACATTTAAACAGTCATTTAAAATACTAAAGATGGCCTCAACAATACCGTGTCAAACAGATCGCAAATACTCTTGTGGCCCCGGTCATGTTGATTACCACCTAAAAAAATGAGGAAAACAATTCTTTGGAAAGCTACTGCATGTTTGTTTCATATCCTGCCATTTAGAAACCTTTTCTATATATATTTCCTACCAGCTTACAGACTCAGTAATTAGGGCAAGAAAAGCCTCTTTGTGGCTACCTTTTTGTTACTTCCTTCAGTTATGGCTAGATTCACTGCTTCTCTCCTCTGCAGCGGGGAGTGATCAGCGTGAGTGAGGCCGGACTTCAGCCAAACCCAGTGTGCCCTCAGCAGCTTCCACCCCGGTCCCCGGGAGGTGAACACCACTCACGTGTGCATGCGGATGCAAAGGACCTCTCCGTCAGGGCAAGAATTGCTAAAACTCTTCCATTTGTTCCCTAAAACCTGTCCTTCACTGAGAAGGACACTGGTTTCTATAGCATTTCTCTTGTCTGGGACATCACGGTATCTCTGAGTAAATTCAAAACCTTCTTGTAAGTGTCTAGAATATCCTGAGCCGTGGGTCGCTCTGCAGGAGTCTGGCTCTTACAGGCTTTATGAATATCAAACAAATGAAACCGGACCATATCGCTCCCTTCAACGTGCCCCAAAAGGAAACTAGAGACGTCTGGAATCTTCCAGATGTCGATCTTCTCGTCATAGGAGGGCATGAGGTCATCGTCAAAAGGCGTGTCTTCCCCATAGGGCCACAGCTGCTCTGGAGCCACGAAGTCCCCGTGCAGCTCCCGGTGGCCACACTTGACCAACGTCCTGGAGCTGTGGTTCACCAGGGGCAAGGCGTCCAGGTCGTTCACCACGAGGCTGAAGTTACTGGTCAGCAGATACTGCGACAGCGTCTTGGGCAGGTCGCTGGAGTCGCACATGACCCGCGTGCCCAGGGGGCTGTGGTGCAAGTAGTGGATGATGCTGACGTAGTCCACGGCCATCTGCAGCCTGCGCTGCCATGTGTTCACGTTCTGGTACTTGGAAAGGTTTAGCATTGCTTCCAGATTGCTCAAGGAGCCCAAGGGGTGATACTCGGTCAGTATTGTGTTGTCGTCCTCACAGTAGCCGAGCAGGGTGACCACGTGTTTACTCTGCAGACCTTTCAGCATCTGCAGCCCATGCAGGAAGTCGTCTTTCATCTCCAGACTCGTGAGCCTTGAGAGCGCCACTTTGCGCTCCTTCCACTCAGACAGAAAGACCTGAGACAAAGCCACAGAGAACATCAGCCCCGAAACCGTCCCCTGTGTCAGTGAGCCCCAAGCCCCCCAACAAGTGCCGGGGGTGGAACGGAGAATGCAGAAACGAGGGTGACACAGACCAGTGCCGGAGAGGCGCTCGGTCTGGTTCCGAAGGCTCACTGATGAGCAAACACGGGCACCCGGTGCAGAAGGCAGGGCAGGCCTGGGATGGAGGCGGGTGAGGGTGCCGACGGCCATCGGCAGAGGGTGCTGGAAGGCTCCTGGGAGTTGGTCTAGCGGATGACTAGGGCTAGCAGGGTGGATGTGGAGAATGGGAAGTGCATCCCCAGGAGAGGGGCCTGCAGGATAAGGGCTTGGACTGGCAAACTGACCAAAAGCTCCAAACACCTGCAGCACAAACGGACTGGGGGGGGGGGCACAGTGGGAGGGGAGACGACTGGGAAAGTGGTAAGTCGAGCCCAGCCAGCCCATCACACATCACAGTATTACCTCCTCATCTTTCAAGGTAGCACAGTAAACCACAAACAGGAATCATTTTAGGTCACGACAACAGTTTTACGTGGGGTGTGGTTCTGTAAGAGCAGAAGCCGAAGTGCCCCGCAGACTCTAGACCCGCCCCTCCTGAGCGCCCAAACGGGACTACCTTTGACTCCCCATTTCTACTAGCTAGGAAAGGCTTGCAGGAAGGACTGTAATTAAGAACATCGGACTTTTTGCTTAAAGCTCCAAAGAGAAGGTGGAAGCCTGCAGAAGAGAAGACAGGCTCAGAAGTGGGGGGCTGGCTGCCCCAAGCTGCGTCTGCCGCCTGAGGGCTGTTTCTCTGCGCTTCTACTTACAGTGAGTAATCAAGTGCCTATAACATCAAATCTAAAATCTATCAGGCAGTAATCTGAAATAGATAAAAAGCTCTAGGAATAAAAATCTGGCACTACTTATAAAAGCATAAACGAACTTATCCATCCATCAAAAAATGGGGACTAGTTCAGGAATGGCAGGATCACTCAAAAGAGTAGGATGCGGTCAGCAAAATGCATAATTGACAGAGTTTTCACAGATAACAGTAATATCACAAATGAAAAAGGATACACAAAATTTCCTTTGTTATTGTTCTAACTGCATTAAAACAAGACAAAATTACATGGAAATCAAAGGAAATAGGCTAATGTTTCTCTCCATGTTTTCTTCATATGATAAGATTCTGGGTGATTTTTTTTTTCCTTTATGCCTTTTGGTATTTTCCAACTTTTCCAGAATGAATGTATATGATTTTCACATTTAAAAACACTTTTTAAGGGGCGCCTGGGTGGCTCAGTCGTTGGGCATCTGCCTTCGGCTCCGGTCACGTTCCCAGGGCCCCAGGATCAAGCCCCACATCGGGCTCCCTACTCGGTGGGAAGCCTCCTTCTCCCTCTCCCACCCCCACTTCTTGTGTTCCCGCTCTCGCTGTGTCTCTCTCTCTGTCAAATAAATAAATAAAATCTTTAAAATAAATAAATAAATAAAAATACTTTTTAAAAGAACTCAAAAATATATCAAATGGAGGTAAGTTAAAGACCTGTGAAGATTTCTTTGGGATCTGAGGGGGGGAGGTTTACAAATGGAAAAACCCAGGTACCCACAGTTGACCTTTAATATTTAAAAGAGAAATCTTTCAAGACCTTTTCAAAAACCCAAAATTGAGAAATTTCACTATGGATCATAATTTTTTTTAATTTTTAAAAATATTTATTTGAGAGAAAGAGAAAGCAAGAGACAGAGCACGAGCAGAGGGGGCAGGGCACAGGGAGAGGGAGAAGCAGACTCCCCATGAGCAGGGATTCCGACGTGTGACATGCGATGACCTGCGGCGTGTGGCTCAATCCCAGGATCCTGGGATCATGACCTGAGCCGAAGGCAGACGCTTGACCCACTGAGCCACCCAGGCGCCCCTGGATCATAATTTCTATTAAAAAGTCATTTTGCTTGTATGCCTAAAACTAATATAACATTGTATTAATTATATTTGAAATTTTTTAAAAGCCATTTTGCTCTGGCTGCTACATTCACTAAAAATTTCATGAATATAATACATTTATTTTTCTATGGAACACTTTTCCCCATAGACCTGAGTCAACACTGATTTTGACACTTTAACACAAAAATCGTATTTTTTGTTGAGACCCATCACTTCCTTAGACCCACCTCCTCATGGTGCCCACCAGCACTGGCAGGTGGTTTCGGTATCATAGGCCCATTTTTCACATAAAAATAGTGATCACTCTAGGGAAGCTGCTACAATTTATTGATACATACATTAATTCAATAATAAACAGTGGGAGAAGCTCAACCACAGGCCTCATGACTTCCTCCTAAACTCCTGTTTATGTCGATTTTTTGTGCCTCAGATAAATGAAAGATTATTAAATACTATTTATTATTAAATAGTATCAGTCTTTGGGATCACTCTCAAATACCTGAAACCTTCAAAGTTAAATATTTGCAAGTCAGGGATTGCTTAAGAATCATTTCTCCACAATCTCTAATTCAGTTGCTTTGTGACACTTTCTAAAACTCTTACTTAGAACAGTTTTACCTTTTTTGAAAAATTATAAAATTAATCAAGAATACCCTTCTTGGTAAAAATTCAAATACAGGAGATTTCCTTCCCCTGCTTTTACTCCCCAACCCAAAGGAAAGCTGTTAAGTGGTGGGTAACCTCCCAGACATTTCTGTGTGCTCTCATACGTGTTCATGTACGCTTTACAAATAGCATTTGAGATTGGGGTGACATAAAATGAGATTATAACATACATATCACACTGCAACTTGCTTTTGCCATTTAGCTGATACCTCAGGCTTTCCTGTCTGTATACATATATAGATCTAAGTCATTCTTTTTAAAGCTGCACAACTTTTCACAGTTTGGGTATCTCACCTATGCCAGGGAGGTTTTGCAGATGATCATTTCTTTCTTTAAGACTAAAGTATAATATAATAAAGATTTATGAAATTTGTCATGGACGCAGTCAGAGGCATCAGGTTCTTTCTCCCAAGCAGCTCTATAATATTTAATACAATTTTATGTGATCTATTTTTAAAGACCTGATGGACACTTAAATTATTTCCCTTTTTTTTCTTATTAACAACAATGCTACAATAAATAGCCTTATATTCCCAACTCTGCAGGCCTGCAAGCATTTCTACAGGCTGGATAAGGAGATGGGTGAGTGAAGACTATAGGACTGCTATCACGACCCTCCCAAGTCTGTACCAGCATGCACTCACTCCACTCTTGCATGAGCGAATCTTAGGTTCTACAGCCTGAATCACAGTAGATGTTATCAGTCTTTGTACCAATCTGACAAATGAAAAACATTTTACTGTTCCAACTAATTTGTATTTCCCTGAGACTGAGCACTTTTCATCTTTGTTGGCATTTCTGTAGGTCTTCTGTGGAAAGTATGTTTGTTACCCTTTATCCAATTTTCTATGGCGTTGTTTTATGCTTATTAATTTCTAGGAGCTCTTTATGTATTATCCATGTGATCCTTTATTACAAATGTAAAGGATACATTTTAGAAAATAGTTTATGTGGTCTTTTGTAGTAAAAAAAAAATTAACTGCTATGTAGTCAAGTCTGTCTTCATAAATTTAACAAGTATTTATGATAATAAAAAAAAATTGAAATTAGGGCACCTGGCTGGCTCAGTTGGTGGAGTGTGCAGCTCTTGATTTAGGGGTTGTGGGTTCAAGTCCCATCTTGGGTGTAAAGATTACTTAAATATAAAATCTTAAAAAAAAAAAACAACAGAGGGACACCTGGGTGGCTCAGTAGGTTAAACATTTGCCTTTGGCTCGGGTCATGATCCCAGGGTCCTGGGATCGAGTCCCGCATTGGGCTCTCTGCTCAGCTGGGAGTCTGTTTCTCCCTCTCCCTCTCTCTCCTGCTCATGGTCTCTCACACTCTCTCTCTCAAATAAATAAATAAAAATCTTAAAAAAAAAACAAAACAATAAATAAATCCCTGCCACTATGAAATTTACATTCTAGTGCAGGAGGCAGACAATAAAGAAAATAAACAGGGTATGTATAAAGTATACATAAATGTGCTCTGAAGAAAAATTAAGCAGGGAAGGGTTTAAATTTTAAATAGGGTTAGAGAAGCTCTCACTGGGGTGACATTTGAGCAAGACCCTGCAGGAGGTAGAGGAATGAGCCATGTGCTACCTGGGAGGAACTACATCCCAGGCAGGAAGAACAGCAAGGGCAAAGGCCCTGGGGCAGCAGCATACCCACAGGCTGCCACATCAGTAAGGCCAGGGTGGCTGGAGTGGAATGAGCAAAGGGGAATGGAGTAGGAATAAGGATGCTATTTGACTTAGAATTTAATAGCAGTATTCTGGCTGTTGTGCTGTGAACAGACTGAAGAGATGGGAGGGGGGCAAGTGCAGAAGCAGAGAGCCCACTTGGGAGGCTACTGAAATAATCCAGGTACAGGATGATGGTGGCTTGGATGGAAGGAGGGGAGATGGGTAGAAGTCTGAGGAGTAGTCAAATTCTAGATCTCTTCTGAGTGCAGAGACAACAGAACTTGCTTATGGATTCAACATGGATGTGAGAAAAAGAGAGAAGTCAGGATGCTTCTTCCCACGTTGGTGGCCTGAGCAACTGGGCCAACAAGTTGTCATTAACTGCAATGGGGAAGAAAAAAGGAAAAGCAGGCAGAGGTGATAGTCTGGGACTCAGTCAGTGTGAGAAGCCTTTCTGACTTCCAAGTGGAGATGTGGGGTAGGCAGCTATATAGAAGAGTCTAGAGAGTTCAAGACAGAGGTCTTAGCTGCAGATAAAGGCAAGAGGCTGAAGACATCCAGGGAGCAAGCATACAAGAATGACCCAAGGTTAAGAGGGATGAGGAAGTGAACCTTGCAAAAGGGACTGAGAAGTGGGCACTGTTATTTCATACTTTAAATATACAATTCAGGGGTGCCTAGGTGGCTCAGCTGGTTGAGAGTCTGACTCTT